TTTTTTTGCGACATACACAATCGTTATCTGTACTTTGTTTACGAAATAGTGAAAAAATTATGTGTTCTTGTGGATTTTTAATTCCGTTTCAAGATTACACCAATAAATCATTCCCCGCTTTCCAACATTCTCTGTGCTTTAATAAAGTTATATCTATTCATAAGACGGAGCGGATTGACCTACAAGCTCCATGGAAGGCCCCGCACCAAGGGGGGAAAATTAACAAAATACCTAAACCATGTATCTGTAAAAGAACTTCAACTCGCTGCATTAGAAAGTGTTCAATTTTTCTTTTTAATATTCGATGTTAATGTAGTCCAATATTAATTGTAATTTACTTTCTGAAGAAAAAAAAAAAGTTTATATAACGAAATTCAAGTTGTATTATGAATCTTAAAATTTGTTTCTCTTTCCGTAAAGCCTAAGAATGAATACCTAGTCGGTATGTCTAATGCTGGTTCCCATTGTTAAGACTTCCCGCTATCACATTTGCAGTTCGAACTAATAATTCACGTATTTTCAATAATATGGCACATTTTGCGTTTAGTTCCCTTACGCCTTAATCACATTGTGTACCATAGCCGGTTCTGGCTTCGTTTTCTGTAAGTCACCCCTGTACGCAATCTTTATTCAAGATCCATTAAAATCTGTCTGAACACGAAATGCGTGTAAATGCGCTCCCACCCCTAAGAAGCTAATAACTTTCCTCAGTCCGACAAACTTTACTTCAAGCAAATTATGAAACAAATTCGGAAGCCCCTAATTTGGTCACATTCATCCTCCACGTCTCTGCGACGGAGTTCTGAATAAAAATTCATCTCTAGCAATTCCTATCAATGTCCTTGATTCACACATTTAGTTCGACGTTTCCTCATTTTTTTAAATTTCTATGGGATAAAAAATCCCATAAAGGTATTTAACATTTCAATATGTAGTAGTTGACTTGGATATTGCAGTATTCTTGGCTGAAGTGACCATTTCCACATTCCTTTTTCGCCCAGAGGTAAATACGAAAACCCAAGCACTTTCTTACTATCTCCCCAATTTTTTTCTTTAACGACTTTGTCATTAAAAACCTTTTTAAGTTGAGAATATTACAATTTATTTTCACATTATTACTTATTAAGCTATCGCGTATTATAAGGGGATCCCGCAGTTTCGTCGTACTTAAAGCCCCATAGGACATCAATTAATCTAGTCCAGGGATATTTTGGTCATTTGCACTCGATGTCGCAGACAGGCACATCCACTACATATTAAAAATAACGACAAAACGAAAAAGTGAGGGAGGGCATTATTTTTTAATCATCGCAAACCATTTCATTAATTTTTAGATATTATGAATATTGCTCCTTAAACCGCATTTTCCTACAGATACTTTATACCCAAAAGTATCTTTTCTCAACTCTGAACTATATTTTTTCCGTCTTAACTAGCTTAATTTCTTGCCTTCAATTTTTGGGACCTAGTGCTCGTATAGTAAAATATTGAATAAAATAATTCAGTTTTACGAACTTTTTCAGGTAGTCCTGATATGTAAAACGGGCACGCAATATTTGCTTTATATCGTGCTGTGGGTTCATACAATGGGGAATCCGACGTCATGAAATAATTTGCTTCCCTTAAAGCATGTCCATTTCTTGGAGGAGTGAATTCCCACATGTATATTTTCGATGTTTGAAATATTGCTTATTAGCAAGTACACAACTATGCACGGTAACCGCTGAGGCAGGTCAATAGTTTTATTTCAATGGCTCCAATTCCGCAACTTCTATCATTGAATTATTTCTTAAAGTTCAGCTAATCCAATGATGGTTTATACCACACAAATTCAACTTTTCAAAATGTGAGTACCAGCCATTCTGCACAATTTCATAAAAGCGACAGTTTTTACATATTCCGTTCTTAGTGGTCTTGAAATTGTTTACATTTCATTTCGATTTTTGGCCTACTTTCTTGCGCATTTCTAGAATACCTTTGCATTGTTTTAGTCAGTTTATAGGCTCTTCTAATGTTAAGGAAGTTGCATAACCATCACAGAAGGGTACTAGATATCTGAAACACGCCTCGACACTCAGCACTGACTAAAAAAGTAATTTTGATTTCAAACTGCTAAATATTTTGCGTGTATACTTTGCAAAATCAATTTCGTAAAATTCGCTTTAAATTCATAAAGGTGTTTATAAACATCGTGCTTTTTTGTGTATGTCCAATGTACAACTTCTCACTCATGGGATGTGGCTTTTAGTAGTGCTTCATAATTTATTAGCTACTGCTCTATATAACAAATGCTTCTTGAAACGAAATTTTTTTTCCCAATTCACATTGGCAATGGCTGTGTCCACAATTCCAAAAGAACAAGCAGACATTTGTCATTAGACAAGATTACAGACATTTTTAACCTGATTTATTTTTAACTATATTACGTACGAAAATCGTGAATACAGCTTTTCATTACGTAAACCCACTGTATATGTGGCGTCAATTCTTTAAATTGTCCCGCCATGTGGACAGCAGCGCCGTCTAGAACAAACGGCTAACCAATCAACCATCCGCCAACGGCGGTCTTGCCTAAGTTTCAAGCACGATCGACAAGTCGTTCGATTGCCTGCAGGGCAAATGTCCATATTCGTAAATGACTCGTTCGACTTTTCTAAAACTGAAGTCAGGTTATTAATTTCACCGGGAAAATATTTGTCTCAAACGAGGTATTAAGTGTTTTTGCACCCCCTCCATCACCAAAAGCTTCTAAATAAATTACGTTTCATCAAACATCTGTAGATTTTTTTTAGATGGTCTGTGAATGCAGTTTCAAAATTTGGTTTCCTGAAGTCCCCTTTTTACTTTGTCATGCCTTTTTTGTTTACATGCACTCCAACATTTTTCCGTTTGGTCGGTGTCAATAGCCTATAATGAAAATGAGTGTGAATGCCCTTTATTATCATTCCAACGTCAGTAGAAAAAGTGTCAGTAATGAATTGAAACTATCACCACTAAGCTGATGAGGTGATAAGGAACATGGAAGTAAGAAGGTGAATCTTACATAATATCCTCTTGAACTTAAAACTGACTTGATGAAAGGAGACCCAATTATTTATTCAGACCACCTTTTATTTACATGGAAAAAGGAACAGGATTCCTCTCTTACCTCCTAGTTGGGCTGCTTTAACAATGCTTCATGGCTGGGTACCTCACCAATTTCTTGGAGATACTAGTGCTTAAGTCAAACCAAAAGGCAGCAGGGCACTAGAATAATCCATCTGTTGATATGAAGGCATCCAGGAACATTTCCTTGAACCCAATTGCTTTCAGCAATAGAGTTAAAAAGACTTACTTGGGAAGAAATACAAAGTAATTTCCCAATCCACCCAATTACTATTAAAAATGAGATGAAAACTACAAAATCCCCGTACTTGATAAAAAAAATTCAGTAGAATCCAAAAAAATGTCCCTTTTTATGTTTCTTCATAACTGGGGTGTTTGAAGACTCAGGAATACTCCAGAAGACTGAGAAAGTGGAAAGCAATCTTGGCAGAATAAACTTTCTTCTTGATGCATTCAAGAAGCCATCTTCATGACTTCTCAAATCACATTCTTCTTATAAAGTCCACACACAATGTTTCGCAAGTTAGTCCATGTAACACCATTGAATTTACTGGGAGCAGTACCTTACACTCATATGACTGAACATTTAACACTTATCTTAACATGATTTTCCAAAGTAAAATATTACACAAAAGAAATTATCCTCCAAAAGAAGGTAATGTTCACAAAGCAATTCCAGCAGATATTCAGGAATTTACATCCAATATCTCCTCTGAAATCCAGGTTGCAATTTTAGAATATAAAATGAGTAACCTTTCAAGCTTTTCTGAGATAACTTGATTACAGAGAAGAATGTCCAATGCTTACAAAAAGGAAAAGCAATGGAATCATTTCCTTTATGTACAGTAAAGTACCTACACCAAACAACTTAATTATGTAACAAAAATATATGAAACAAATTTCTTGGAAGTTAAAATACTGAAGTTTGAGTGCATGCTTTGTTGAAATAAGACGTTCCAGGGAGGAAAACTTGCACAACTTCCAGTTAAGTTTCAATTGAATTTGTCTTCTTCAATTGATCCCCTCAAAATTAGTTTTGGTTTTAGTGATACAATTATTATACACAGTTTTAATCCTCGAATCATGAACACCGATATCATTGCTGACTACAACCCACATTAAAAGTAAGGTACTTCATGAAAATATTTGTCAAAACAGTGACATTTATGTAGTAAAGCCTAAACTGAAATTTCTATGAAAATTTCTAGCTTTTGTTAAAAATATTTTGAACTTTATCTGCCAGGTAATACAATACCTTTCTGCCAAATTCTAACAAAACTTAAATACAAAGGCAAGCTAAAAGAAAAATGGGTAGATTAAACATTTAAAAACTTCTTCAAATAAGCAGCTCACTCCAGGACTGCAAGCCACCATCTGCTTCAAGGAATTTGGCCTGGAAAACTCCAAAAGATTGGCACAGTTATTAAATGACTAGGAACTCTAATCCAAAAGGAATATTAAATTATTTCACCAAAAGTATGTATATCTAAGCTGTGAAAATGATAAGTATAATTAGTTGTAATTATGTTTTTACAAATATTTTAATATATAGGATAACATTTAGCAAATTGAAGTAATTTTTCACATTTGTAAGTACATCTAAAGTCGCACTCCTGAGGTATGTATATTTCCAATGTTTATGAAAAATGGTACAAGAAAGTACCACACATTTTTGTATTTTCCACAATATATTTTTATGGTAAGAACATCTGTGAAAAAAGATGAATATCCTTTCAAATTTCATTAGAGCAAATAAAGCAGAAAGAAATCTGAAAATCCAAACAGAAAGAAATCTGAAAATCCCTTAGTATTGTACTTACACACACCTCAAAAAAAACTTAGGGGAAAATGTACTTAAATGCCCACCACCCAATTTTATTATTACCCATACTTACGTTTTGGTTTTGATGGAATTAACTTTATGCTGCCTGGCTTTTCATTCTTTTTGAGCTCCTCAACAGAAAGATCTGGTGTTGGCTTCATTTTCTTCTCTAAAGGACCTGCCTCTCTTGGGGGACTAGGACGTTTCAGTGGTGGAAGCTTCACTGGTTTCTTTTCAGGAAGTGGCATAGGTTTCTTCTGAAGACGAGAAGGTGGAGGCTTTACTTCTTCTTCCAAACCAGTAGAGCGAAATTTAGAGTTGAATTTTTTAACAGTTTTTGGACGTGAACCATCTTTATTTCTGATTTCAATTGAAATTGAATTTTTCTTTGACTCTGGAACAGATTTCTTTGCGGAGTCTGGAGATTTTTTCCCTTCATTCAATGGGCTTTTAGATTCATTTTTCAGATTATCCTCAGTCTTTGGTTTCTTTGGTATTTTCCCTAATTTACTAATTGTGGGAGGAATCAATTTGGCAAGAGTTGCTTTGTCCCTATCAGCCTGTGAAAGGTCTTTCTCACTAACACTATCACTCAACTTCTTATCTTTTTCTTTCTCTTTTACCTTTTCTTTTTCCTTTGTCTTGTCTTTAATTTTTTCCTTCTCTTTGATCTTTTCCTTACTCTTATCCTTATCTTTTATATCTTTACCTTTATCCTTATTTAATTCTGAGGATTTAGATTTCTTATCACTTTTGTTACTCAACACTAAGTCTTTTACTTTTTTGTGGCCTTCCTTATTTTTAAGGTTTTCATTAGACACAATTTCTGATTTAATTTTTGTTTTAGCACCCACACTACCTCTCATATCCTCTATTTTTAGATCGGGCTCATCTTTTATTTGTTGATTCTCTAACACAACACTTTCATTTAACTTACTAACATTTACACTACAGTTTCTAACTGGTGATTTCATGGCTTCAGGAGTATCTTCTTGTTCTTCATCTTCAGGTAATTTTTTAGTTCTATCACCTGAATACACTTTAGCTAACACTTGTTTCCCATCCCTAATTGTTATTTTATACACTGGTAACTGGCCCACGGGGCCATTCCAAGTTCCTACACCATCCAAATCTTCGTCACCAGGGTCTACTTTTTCTAATTTTATGTTTGCTCCCTCAGTTTTAATGGACATAGTTTCCACAATCGTTTCAAGCTTAACATTAGCACTTTCAACAATACCCTCCTCTTTAATTTCATTGTCCCCCAATTCTTCTTTAGGAACCGAGTCACTTTGCACCCTTTCTCCCAGATTAACATTCACCAAATCCACATTTTTATCAGCTGTCTGTTCCACACTACACACTTCTGATTTAACTTCAGAAACCAAAGGTTTAATCTCTGGAATTTCAGATTTAACATCTGGCACTATCAGTTTGGTCTCAGGAACGACTGGTTTTACCTCAGAAATAACAGGTTTCACATCGCAAACACTCAATGTCATATCTGAAATAACTGGTTTTATGTCTGGAACTGAAGTAGATTTCCCAGCTTCTGCACATTCTCCTTTCACTATCCTTAGCCACTGTTCTACTAGTTTTCCAGCAAGAAGCCTAACATCTGTAAGTGAATAGAATGATTTGAATTATCCTTTGAAACCAAAATTAAGCTCACTGAAACCAAACTCCAAAACCATACTTACTTTCATTACTCCCATCTTTTGAAAGACCTTTAATTAACTTTGGGCAAGTATTTGTTTTTAACCTTTCAACATCAACAGGACACATTAATAATAATTCCAATAATTCTTGAATCAATGGCCAATTTTTTGCAATTATTGCATCAGAGAGCCACATGTGAATTAAATTCCAGCCACCTGCTGCCATAAACCTATGGAACCAGTAAAATTTAGAGACAAGCCACAAGACAAAGGTATTGATTTTATTAAACATTGGTATACTCACATTCCCAACAGATCAGTTTTTGTTGTCTTGAGTATCTGAATGTAGATGCATTTACTAACTAACTTTTTGGAAAATTTTGTCATCAAACTGAAAGGAAATGTGTATAATTCAGAATTAGAAAGAAATAATTAAATTTAACATTTATACTGAGCTAAAAATGTTCCTCCTGTACCTGTACCCAGATTGTACAGTTTCTACCGACTTTGACGAAAACAAAACAAATCAAATCAAGTTCCTACCAATACAAAAAATTTTGTTTGTAAAAATGCAATTGATAGTCATATCAATTACCTACTCACTACTAACCCACTTGCCAACAATATTAGTGCTTCATTATTGTGATAATGCTGGAAGCAACATTCTCCTGACACTTAAACCTACAAATAAATGTAGGTTCAGACTTCACATTCAAATATTACTGGAAATGCGAATTTTTATATCAATTCTTGCACATTCTGAAAACTACACGAATAAACGAGATCCTCATTACTTTCTTCTATAGTGGAAGAAGTAAGACAAAGTTCTCTAAAAACCTCATAAAAGAACTATTATGAAAAATGTTTAACTAATGTACCTTAGATACAAAAAGAGATAGCTAACAAATAAATAATCCATTCAAGGCATCACAACAAGATATATAATACAGCATCCTGGAAGCCAATGAAGCCACTCAAATGGCTAAATTGAAAATGTACACAAAATGTGCTATGACAACATCCATGCAATTGAAAACGCATAATATGGAAAAACCCTTTTACCAAAGATAAGGAAAGTACTACTGAGGCTACTTGTAAACACTAACCTTCATTAAAGGTAAATAAAAGCAAATCCTTGATTTAAATTCATTCTTGATTTATCAATCAAGCACTACACTGCTGGTGATCCCTCCAATAATAATTCAACAAAAAAAGCTTTCGGAAACAATGTGAACGAAGTTCTAATTAAGTCTGAATACACAACTTCATAAGGAACAAAATTTACAAAAGCTTACAAAATTTCTATGTTTTCCCCCTAAACAAATCATTAACTTGTAAATTTGTAAATTCAGTACTTTTAACTTTTTGTTTTCCCTCCCTAATGAGAAGTATGACAATTACATCATCGTTGTCCGTTTTCATGAGCCGACTCTCAGCTCAGGGGGTATTTCGACAACAGGAATATTATATCAATATTTTTGCTAGTCTTTCGAAGCAAAATAGTTTCTATAACACATTTCCGGTTAAGGAATTATATTCAGCAACGCTCGTGATTGCTTCGTAACCAATGTTGGCGAAGGAGTGGGGGCAAGAATTTCGGCGCTCACGAAAACGTGAGCGTAAATGTTTGAAAAAAATAATTATCCTAAATCACTTTCATCACTGTATTTTCGAAATAATTTATCAACTAAATAGAAACATTAATTTTCTGAATTTGAGAAAATTCTGATAAATATTTTTAAAATGTAAATATTCTACTGCACATGCAATACACGAAGTTTCCTACCTTGCCAGCCTCTGCACCTCCTCCTTGCTCTTTATGCCTCCATTTGGAGCCAACAGGACACTGAGGCACTTAAGTAACTGCAATGGATCAATTCTCGGCTGCAAAGAGATAAAATAATTGTAACACAAATGCAAGGAAAGTAAACTAAACAAAAGAATGTTAATCCCAGCAAATTGCTAACATAAGACTTATTACAAAATATCAACGAAATGCTTTATTAGTATAGATTAGTAAGCAGCATATACGTATGCCAGAATTTTGCAACTAATTTCCATTGGTGGAACTTATAATTACGCAAGTTAGCCGAATGGCTGACTGACCATTTCTGAGAAATTGTAATTGCGATAGATCTCAGCATTGAAGTTAGTTGTGGCAAATTAATTGCTAAGCATTACCGCATTTCTTATTATGTGACAATAATGGGGAGAATAAGCGGTCGAACAGAGTCGTGAAATTTGGACCGTGTAGAAAAATCCTACTCATTTGTAGTAAACCCAGCATAGCAGTTCGAAACCCACATCAAAATGGCGTCTTAAAAGCTAGTCCTCGCAAGCGCCCCCCCCCCTCACCAACCGCTGAAATCGATAACGTGACCGGAACTAGCAGCGCCACCTTTAAGCAAAAATTAAATTACTTACCATGATGAATTTGATGCTCAACTCAGACACTTTCCACAACTTTTCTTCTTAAAGCCTGTAAAAGAAATAACACAAACCTAATTTCCTGTCGAAAATGCCACATCAACTGGTGCTTAGCAACTACTCTATGGAATATATTTACTGGAGAATCATAGCTCCATTTACTATGTAATCTAATATGGGCCTTTCATGCACGTACTTCAATTTAAAATGTATGGAACAGGGGTTGATTTAATTTCTTCGAAGCTAAACTATAAGTTGCTTTCTTCTCGATGCTTTTTAAGATTACTGCGCAGAAGCTAGTCCCCCTCCCCTGGAATGACATGACGTCACTTCCGATTCTAATAATGACACCCCTTTATTTGTACGCTGTTTGTTAAACCAACGCCTTAATTCATAGTTCGATTTCAATCTTTTCTGTTTCACTTTATTTGTTTTAAGCTTGTTGAGCATTCTCTCATCAGTCACCCAAATTGATTTAATCGATTACCATTCCACACGCACACATTGACCGTTGTTACATAACTTTGTTTTTCTTAGTTAATAATAATTTTTTAAACAATCACTGCCATCACACTTACATTTAATTAAAATATACATGTCACAAGTTATTATCTTAAAGCTGCTCTAACTTTCATGAAAGTTCACTCTGGATCGACGTTTAGGACAGGATGAGGAAATAATTCCAATGCATTCAATATACTTTTACCGGGCAACCCATCTGCAATTAAACAGAAAATATAATTAATATTAGCGTAGTACAATTATGAACTTTTCAATCCTCTAAAATAAACTAAAATTTCATGTTCGCACAACACACACTATACCTACCTAAGTATCATTACAAAATGCAGCTCGACGCCGCAAGCGACGCAGCTTACGTCAATGTCCGCTTGACCTAGTTGACCTTCGTTTTCCCATCTTTTTTATAGTTAATATAATATATTGAAAATTATTCTTTAAAACATCTAAAAGAAAAATAATACTTGTAATAGTTCACTATTTTTTCACAACAAATGAGAAATTTTTGATTTGAACTTTGAAAATTGAACTTCATCGTTACGGCATCGTTCAGAAATGAGTTTATACAATATAATTTACAGACAATGAATAAAAACAGCCATTATGTAACCAAGATCTCTTATTTTAGAAAAAATGGAAACTTACTTTTACCTAATATATTTTAATAATGCAAAAATTTAATATTCGTCAATTACTTAAGCATACTACTTTGGTAGCCCTGATATTATTTAAATGTTCCATGTTGTGACCATAACTGACCAAAGTAAACCGCACCTAACGTTCCGTGTTTAATTTACTCTGGTATCTATTAATTATACTCAACCCTGGATTTATACAAAACTATATGAAATATTATAAACAAAATTTAATGAAAATATATTTATATTATATATTTATATAATCTTATTGCATAATATCCGAACATGACATTCGTGGACATGGCGATAATTTCCCGATGTTCCTGAATTCTTAGTATTAGTAGTAGATTGTGATTCGATCTGATTCAAAAGGTTCTTTATTTTAGGATCCTTTAAATCTGAGTATATTTGTGAAGAAGTTTCGAGTTTGTTTTAATGTTATCATCACTTCATTATTGGCGAAAATTTAATGCTGGCCAATAACGTCCTACGAGGATTCTGGAAAAGTATCTTGACATGTAAATATATATTATTTCAGCCGCTGTTGACTATTGAATTTAAATAATATGTCGTCCGAATAATTAGCTGGTTAAGTAATTTCCGAAAGGTTTTAACTTTATAAGAGCTGGGCCACGCTGAGATCACACCACGCAGGGGACTATAACTTACAAAAAATGCTACGTTCGGTTTTTGGAAGAATATATTTGTTGTCCAAAAATGAGAGATATCCGTCCGGACTAATGAAGGTGCATTAGCGAAATGTAGTATGTAATATTGGGGCTAAGAATGTCTCAATTCTAAATGAATTACTCTTTCAGGGATTTCCCATCCGAAACTTCAGAACTGCCACAACCGTTTTGCAATCTCCCGAAGAAGTGAGTGAATCGCGAAAAATTGATCCCGGAAAGGATAGAACCAAAATAATTCCAGTAGAAACCAGCATCCAGTATATTAAAAGCGATGGTATGTGACTTAATGATGCATTAATATATTTGCGTGAATGTTTTACGTCATCTTATAATATCAACATTGCCTTGCAGCTTATAAAGAAACGTATGGTGATCAACAAGTTTGGGTCCATTATAGAAGAAATCACAAAGGAAGTCTTCCCCCAAAGAAGACAAGAAAAACATGCATTGTAACTATTGATATTTTAATGTTTGTCTTGATACATATCAGAAATTGTATTAATAATTTCTTTTCAGAGGCAAGGTGTAATTGCGACAGGGAACCCATGCCCTATCTGTAGAGATGAATTCTTGGTTTTGGGTCACACTAATATAGAATTACTGAAGCAGTTTATTTCTCCCCATACAGGAGAGGTATTAAGTTATTCGTAAGTCAGTTTTCTTTTTAAATGTGAATACTTGAAACACAATGCAATGACCTATAGAAGAAAATTTCTTGCTATTTCAGGAAAACTGGCTTATGTCAGAAACGTCATTTGGAATTATTAGTTGCTGTAAATAAAGCAAAAGATTATGGATTAATCACATTTGATGTCCCATTTCGCGTATATGACTACTCTGAGTGGAATACAGAGAAATAGTTGATTGTCTGTTAATTTCATAAAAATGGGAAGTAAACGTAGTGCTACATTTGTCATTATTGGCGGAGGAATTGCCGGAGTGTCTTGCTTGGAAGGTCTGTCTTTTTTGATGCCTTCAGAGACTATTATTTTAATAAGTTCATCACCACTGGTGAAGACTGTTACAAATATAATGCCAATCACAAAGACCCTATCGCATTTTGATGTTGAAGAAAAAAGTTTGGAAGACTTTTCTAATCTTCATCCTGGAATTTCTATTGTTCATGCTACTGTAATTGGTTTGGATAGTCAGCACCATTCAGTTATTCTTACAAATGGAGAAATCATACAGTACAAGAAACTCTGCATTTGTGCTGGAGGAAATCCAAAAATAATTGCAGAAAACAATTCTCACGTTCTAGGTATTAGAGATACTGAGTCTGTGAAGGAATTTGAGCTTAAAATCAAAAATGCTAGTAAAATTGTTGTTGTTGGGAATGGTGGCATTGCTACAGAGATTGTTCATGAAATTGAAGGGATAGAAATGGTATGGGTGATTAAAGATAAGCATATTTCTGCTACTTTTGTGGATCCAGGTGCAGCTGAGTTTTTTCAGAATCAAGTTAGAAAGATTGAAGATAAAAAGGAACGTGAAAGATCTATGGTCAAACGACTCAAATACACTACTACTTCTGAAGGAGCAAGTTCATCTGTAAAAGGTGCAGCATTGGGTCCTGATTGGCATAGAAGCTTTGAATTATCCCATGAACGGGACGATAGATCTAAAGTCATTATTGAGTATCAGTGTGAAGTACAATGTCTTAAATCTAGAGGTGATTTCACAGTTCCTCCTGATGACGAATGGCCTATTTATGTAGAACTCACAAACGGAAAAATTATAGGCTGTGACTTTGTGGTATCAGCCACTGGAGTAATACCTAACAGTCAGCTTTTTGTTTCTGGTAATGATAATTTAGAAATTGCTGAAGATGGAGGATTAAAAGTTGATTGGAAAATGGAAACTACAGTACCTGATGTATTTGCAGCTGGTGATATTTGTACTGCTTCTTGGGACAAGGCTCATCACTGGTTTCAAATGAGGTTGTGGACACAGGCTCGCCATATGGGAATGTATGCAGCAAAATCAATGGTTGGATCACTCAGAAGCGAAGAAATATTGCAGGACTTCTGCTTTGAATTATTTTCTCATGTGACTTACTTTTTTGGTTTCAAAGTTGTTCTACTAGGTCTTTTTAATGGACAAAAACTTAATGGTGAGTATGAAGTGCTGCTTCGAGTAACAAAAGGTGCTGAATATATAAAGTTAGTCATGAAAGATGGAAAAATGCAAGGAGCTGTATTGATAGGAGAAACAGATTTGGAAGAGATGTGTGAAAATTTGATTCTTAATCAGTTAGATCTTACAGAATATGGTGAAGATCTTTTGAACCCTGACATTGACATTGAAGACTATTTTGATTAATCCGGATTCAAACCCGTGGAAAATAATATGAAGTATTTGTAAATTTCTTTCTTTCCTGTGTCAACAAATGTAATTATTGGATTATGTTTCCAGTGATTGGTATAATTAGATGTTTAAAATAAATTATTCTATAGTAATGTTGTCCTTGTAACTTATATCACAACTTATGAGATACCAATACATAATTAGGGAGATATTTCTTTGCTATTGACAGGTCGTGACCACATGGTGTGGTGTTGCCAAATACATAAGGTCTTGCATAGCTGGAAGGGTGATAATGTGATATCTTTGTTGTCTATAGTCTTTCATGCATTTATATTTCATTCAAGTTTGAGACATTGAGCTCGGAGACTCATGACCAAAACCCAATCATGTCTTGAGTTGCACATATGGGAATGTTTTCATTCTGTCGGCAATGCAAGTCATTGGGAGATGTAATAACTCAAACCCATGGAAACCTAGAGACGCCACCCAACGCAGTTTCAAAGTTCAATCTCCCACAGTATAATCCAGATATCAAGTAAAGTCCCAAGTAATTCAAAATTACTTGGGACTTTACATATATCCATTACCTTAAAAAGCTTCCTAGAGTTAAATAGAGCATCATGAAATTTGTAGTTTGCACCAGAAAGGCACATCTTTGATTCTAATGACTGGGCTTGATGCTTAACACATTGAGTTGCAGGCATACTCAGTACATTTACAAATTCTAGCAGCTCTGATTCATGACACTTGTGACTGTAGAGGCAACAGCTCATATCCCCCGAGTGAAACGTAAAGCATTTCTGAAGTATGTTCTCCAGATGGCTGCCGGATGGACTGCCTATGTCAAGAGTGTATTCTGTAGTACAGCTTGTTACATATATGGAACAACATTTCTGTTCAACTTGTATTTGCTGCTTTTTTCACTAATTTGCAAATTTTATTTCTTATGACTGAAACATCCTAAGCAAGTTTTTTCATTCTTGAATGCCAATTGTTGATTTAGCCATGGTCACTAAGGTATTCTTGACCAGGATGTACCCATGACTTGGGTTGCTTCAAATCATTATCAAAAAACATGCTTAAGTGCTGTATGCCTGTGGTTAAATTGGAGGGAAAGGCCGGTATAAAGCAAACAGTGGTTGGTCCACACCAACAGTGACAGGGTATGTGCAGCTAAGTTCTAACAATTTTGCTTCTTCTAATACATTAATATTCATATAACCAATGGTTTGCACTTTGAAGTGCTCTGGTAGTAAATATCTAGAAATACAACAGTTGGTTAGCACTAAATGTTACAAAAACATACCGCCAGAGGTCTCTAAAGGCTCCTGAGCACACACAAACACGATAACAATAGCTGAGCGCTATGCGCCCAAAATTACCGTGGGCATTAGAGAATTAATTAACTTACATTGTTCATAGACTACTTCCTGAGTATGTTATAGGCTGTACTTGGCCCCTGTGTGAAACCAGTGTGTCTTATGGCAGGCACTCAAAGTGTTAAGTAAGTATTAGGATGGTTAGATTTCTTAATGCTTGAAAGGTAAATGGAGTATCACAGTTACAATAGACTTTCACTAAGAACTGAAATCATGTCAAGTAAGAAAGTTGTAAATAAACTTTATATACAATCAGGAACACCGTTTAAATTCTGAATTCTTTTCATTGAGATTAGGGAGCTAAATAATGTTAGACATTGGAAATTTATTGTGTTATCATATGTTTTATTCAATACATTTTCATTGAAACATTGGTAACTCATGATTGCATGACTCGTTTAATTGCATAACTGTTTTGTAATAGTGTGATAAAAACATAAGGTGTTTTTAATGAGAAATGTTACTTATTAATAATGGAAGAGACACAAATGCATAGTACTACATGCCCATTAGTGAGACAAGATTCAGATGTGGTGAATTATGAAATATTTACAATAGTATAAAAACAGTGGAAACAATTGCCAAAAGTAACTAATATAAACAATAATACAAAGAATAACTTATTTTTATGTAGTTTTTTCTGACAGGTATTCATTTACACAATAACTGTTTGGCAGGAATTTGTAAATCATTATTTTATTATATCATACATCTTCAGTAATTATATATTCGTCACATATATTCAGCATAAGATGTAATATATAACATACTCAAGAAGTTGGATGTACAGATGTAGTCAGTACTTTGCTCATTAAATTTGGTGCGAAGATATCTTAAGTACAATTTGACTTGTTTCTGGCAGTGTGGTCATTTATCATTGAATTTGACGTGTGGCTTTAAGTTTGTTTTCATTATAATTTCATAGATAAATAAGCAAGGTAGTAGTAGTAGTAGTAGTAGTAGTAGTAGTAGTAGTAGTAGTAGTAGAATGTTTAGAGATGTGAAGTACAGTTTACAAGTTGTAGTGCCAAAAATATTGGATAGCGACCTTACCTTTTTCTGAATAATGATGATTATTTTGGACATGGTAGTGTTACCCCAAAATGTAATTCCATAATTTACTCTGAGGTTGAAAATAAGAAAAATACAAAATTTTAAGGATTTCATTAGGGGCCGTCCGTAAATTATGTATTGCCAATTTGGAGTGTTTTGAATACCACCTCTCCCTCTCCGGTAACGCACCTGTCATGTGCACTTGAACTCCCCACTAAATATTATGTAACACTTGCAACAATCCCCCCCCATTTCCAATAAGTAAAACACAATTATAAAGTACAAGTTGTATTAATTGCATTTGTGTTATGCATTAAAACCTATTATAATTAACATGAGAATTAGTTGGTGATGTCGACTGTACATAACAATAAGTTTGGGAATAAATTTTCACGTTGGCCAGAAAGTTTTTGACAAGCCATGCACATGCCGTTGTGGATGACACATACGCTGCAAGTCTACTGCGCCAACAAATAGGATTCTAGAATATGCAATATACTGCAGATATGTTTGGAATTTGTTTTTCATAATCTAAAAGATTCAATCAGTATAACATCAATGAAAAATATGTTTATTGTAACAATTTGTAGAATCACTTCTATTTATTATATTTTCAATTTAACTTGTTAATATGAAAATGTTTTAGTATAAGACTGAATAAAAGGAATTATTACAGCAAATCATGAAAGATTTTAAAAATAAATATCAGTGTCATGTAACTATCCTAGGACGCCCCTACCTCTGTAAAGCAGTGTAATGCTACCTCAATCCCCCTCCCCTCTCTCCAGCGTTACGTAATTTATTGATGACCCCGTAGTCATGTTATACTTTAACGTTCTTATAATGAAACAGGTCTTATTAAGATTTCTGAATACATTATCTGTATTAATTTTCCAATTTTAATTTTCATGTAACCATTCACCTGGGAATTCAGTTCCTGGTGTATTGTTGTAATTATTACTTGAAAGTTCAATATTTGTATTATAATTCAATTCCTGTGATAATAAATCTTAGCATTTGCCTTATCCTCAAAATAGCAGTTAATTTTCAGCCCCACAACAAAGAACAAGGAGCCCTGAGATAGTGAGTATCATTATGGCCATTACAAGTGTAACAGAGGTAGCCAAATTTAGAAATAATTAAATTAGGAGATAATAATAGGAGGGAAAAGAAATCATCACAATTTATAGACAGTCAAATTATTATGGGTAAGAAATTGGGAAAATCAGCTAAAACATTCCACATTTCAGGAACCTGTCTTATTCCCATCATCAGGAACTGTAAAACAATATAAAGTCATATATTGTTATATAAATATAGTTTCATTTATTTGAACATTGTGACAGACTTAGTGTTCACCTCACAAGTATAATTTTATTTTCTTTCTTCTAATTAATCTTTATACATCATTATTTTTGTATAATTTAATATCAATTGATAATCTCTGTTGTAATTTTATCTTGTGAGTAATATGGTTTAGTTAACTTGCAGCATGCCAGGCATGACAGGAATTTATTGGTTAGTATGTTGTTGAGTCAATCTATGCAGAAGGGTATCCCAGCACGTTTTTAATAATAATAACACTTAATAACATAATGAACAGCAGATTCAGTCATGCTCGATATACTATGAGTTCACTACGCCAGTTCCTTTTAAGAGATTTTTTCCAATTTCTGTCCCATAATAATTTGAAAGTCTATAAATATAATAGGACCATAATGACAATGTGTAATGAGTTCACACATCACAGTGTTTAGAAAGAAATTGGAGCTTGGTCTGCACCATTCTTTTTATGTTTGTAATATTTTATTAGTTTCTTTTTGTCTTTCATGTCGATTTCAAATCGGCAATCGGTATTTCCACATCAGCTTCAGTTTTTTCTCTACAAGCCAATATATGTTTTTGATATTTGTTGTTTTATTAATGTTAATGCTAATACGAAATTTCTTTTTTTAGACATTGTTATAATTACTTGATTGATATAATTACATGTTAAAGATACCTAAATTGCATCAATTTACATGAAAAGAAAATTTAAAAATAACACAAATATATTTTGCTTTGTATGTGGTAATGTGATGTTGTGAAGGCAAAGATCAAACATTACGAGTACAGCATTTGTGAAGGCAAGCTATTATGCTTATTTTAATATAAAATAGAGATATCAGGACAAGATCTGTGCTCCACAGCTACCTGTGATCGTGTGTTAAGTAGGCTTAGATAATGGTGCAAGGAATGTAAAGGCAATTACCCTTTGGAATACGGTATTTGGTATGGTATTGGGGGAAGGAAAGGATAATTTAACATATTGATACTTTTGCATGGCGAAATTACAAGGTAATTAATGTCTAGAGACTGTTTTGTATTTCAGGTAGTGGGGTATCAATGTCGCTGGGTCATCAATATGGTGGCTGACTTTTGTTGGGGACAATAAAAAGGTGGATCTGGAGCCTCACATAAAAAAAGGACATTATGTAATCATTTCTATAAAATAATACTGTGATATATAAAACACTTTAAAATATCATAAATAAGAGGTGAAGTTATTTTTATTGTAAGTAATTTATTTCATTCAATCACATATATATAGCCATATAGAAAGGAGAAAGCATTTAAGACGATACCAATTTTTTCCACAATATTTGTTTTTTAAACAAAATTTTCTATTCACAAAGGTTGCACTGAAAGTATCTTGTGTTTAATGCACTTAATAGTTACCTTTATATAATCTGCTGTTTTCATGTATATCAAGTTATTGACCCTCTACAAACAGAAAGTGTTCCAATGGCAAAAAGAGAAGGCTTAATAGTCATAGGAGCTGTAGCACAAGAACTAGATGTGATTGAGGAAATCTAATATTATTTTCGAGTTAAATTAAAATCACAATAATCAACTGACATTTTTACAATTCATTTGTTTATGCTGAAAAGTTAACTCCCAAAACTATTCAGTCACTTGAATAGAAATATAAACAAATGTTCACAGTAAATAATGTTCAACGAGAAAAGCACATAAAAAAGTACACGGGAAGCGAATTCAATATCTTGTAGCCATCTCCTTTCGCTGCAGCTCTTACTTCAGTATATTTGGTATACTTTGTATCAAGATTTTGGATATAAGAGAGGAAATTTTTCTCCATTTGTGTTAAAAAAGTTGAACAACCTGCGATTTGTGCTGGGAATCATTATACGGATAAAAATAATATCTATCAAGAATACCAAGATTTCCAGCATTTTGTTTAGGAACAAGATAGTTAAACCTGTTCATCGTTTGCACAACACAGGTTCACGGCCATCATTGACATACAGCCCTACACCGTTTCATTTCCCCTCCTCCGTGCTTCATTGTTGCCAGCACCAGTTCCATTGCAATGTCGAAGTTCATTAATGTTACGCATCATTATTACAACTGATCCTACTTTCAATTCCATATTGCTCGTTCACTCAACCATTATGATTATTGTACTGTTAGCTATGTTCAGAAAACCACGTTGAATAAGACCTTCTTTCGATTCTGTGAAGTGACATATCTGTGGGTAATATGGTGAATCCGATCGAGGTGTCAACTGTAACTTTATTTCCAATGTCTAATAACAGCTTCGTACACACAATTGCAGTTTGTTCTTATTGCAAAAACATTCGCATGTTGTTAATAGGAGTGTCCACGTGTCGCCACAGATTTTATTTTAGGCATACGTTTAGTTCGTCAGCAACAGTTGATCGGGAAATAACTGGAAGTCTGACGAAAATAACCTGACAACAAAATCATGATCAAAAATGTTTTTGTGGTCACGAAGGTCTGTTAACGTACTGTCCAGTGCCTCCAGTGACCTCTTATGGGCCATCATGCATTCGACCCAAACGATCAATTTAAATACCAGTAGAATCTTGGCCATTGCACTGTTTTTGGCGATGTTGCAAGCTGATGTTTCGTTGATTTGCATGTTCAATGGTAATTTCGAACAAAGTCGCAGCTATTCCAGATGATGCAAACGCTAGGGCTTTTGCGATCTGATCTTCAACAATACCAATGAGATTAGAAACGTTTTTCCAGTCCCTCCGGGAACATCAAGGAAGTAAATACCACCATATCTACTGTTCAGAGCTGCTATCAAAGTATCGTACGCAATCCGTTGTTGATTCAATTTTGGAACATTTGTATGAACTGTTTCGGCCAATGCTTCAGTGTCATACTGTTCTCTTTGCAACTCGTGGTTAAATGCATCGTGCATAGGACGTTTAGTTGCTGTCATACCCAAATATGTTAATATTTAATGTGCCATAAATAAACATGTCTTCTATCATGATCAATGTCTCATTGTAAATTTTTGCAGACATATGTAGTGTGTGATTCAAAGTTTGACGGCGTACTGGATGCAAAACATCCTTAAACATGTCATCTCTATAATTCACCAATAAATCTTACAGATTCGAGGGGAAACATGACGATATGATAATTGCAAATAATGTACGAATTTGATACGGCGATGAAGATATGACAGAATTCTTGAGTGCATTATCTCGATGCGAATCGTTCTCGAGCAACTGTAATAGTAGACACACCTGACGCTAAGTCGCACACAGATGTCCATCAGTAGTTCTCAGTTGTTGAAACGACGTCGGACTGCGAACATTCACCAACAACAATCGAAGGTAATAACATTCGTCGTTATTCGGATGTACTGTGTAAACGCGACCTAGAGCGTCTGAAGCAAATGCATTTGGATGTCCTTAACTGGTGTTCCTTGTTTTCGAAACTGAAAACATTTCGATGAGTTCCATGTGTAGTTATATATTATATAGTGTGGCGTCTTTGCCGGGGCAATAAATCACAGACGGGAACGGTTTGTAAATATTAAGTATTTAATTGAATAAAAATGCTCCAACCCCTGAATACTATGTACAATATTTACAAATAACAATATTGACCCGTTACTAGAAGGAATGTTCCCTGGTTACCACCACCGCAGGCCTGATAATTCAATATCATATTCGGTGTGATGCACCAGTAGCCTACGTGAGCATACAAGCGAGTATGCCGCACATCCCGTCTCGACGTAGCACGCCGGCTTCAGTCCCCTGCCTCAGTAGCCTATGCATTAAAATGCAGCGCCGCGCACAACCTACACGACTTCCTTCCGACGCGCCCAAGAATCTGAAGAAAGAGTTTAGGTCCGGGGTCCGTTTATATACCTTCTGGGCCGGCTGACGGAACTGCGTCATCTCGCTGTTTCCGCCGCCTACTGGGTTCCCAAGTTTGCCACCCACGACACGGCACCCCATCCCTTCCGCTCCCTAGCCTTTGTTCAGCCCAGCGTCTCTTCCGTCAGCGCTGTTCATGAAATGCACGTGGCTGATATTTGGTACGTTTATACAATGCGACTGACATGACGCCACAATAATTATGTGTAGTTATAGTTATAGCGCAGCATGTCAGCATACAACAAAGTGCGAACGAAAACATGTTTGACAAACTGAGAAGCAACTTGCTAATGTGGTCGATGGTGAACGTGCCGTTCTGACTCCGCGTCCGCAGCGGTCAAACTAGTGGAAGAAACCGCCACTACTGAAAACGCGCGCCGCAAGAGAGGATGTCTACCGGCCCCACCGCTAGGCACAGCAGCGCGCGCGGTGCAGCGGAAAGACGCGGTCTGCACCCACGGGAAAGAGGGGGCATTTCGCCCCTCTGCTTCTCTCAACCCCGTGGCGGCGATGCTAATAAGCGGTGCGCCTGGCGCCCGCGGGGGGAGAGTGACTGGTCGCGAGCGATAACGGAACTGGACAGACTTTTGGTATATTGTATAACGACATAGCTTTGACATTGTGATTTCTTCTGGTAGTGGGATTGGCAGACTTGCTTATAGTACATTTACTGAACACTTGGCTTTGCACTATGGACTGGGTTTGGAAAGCGGTATTCCACCCCTCGAAATAAACTGTTTTATAGATTTGTACTTTTGTTTTGTGTCCTGAGTCTCCTACAACACAACCGATTGAAACGTCGTCCACTCGTCCATTTTGTAGTTGAACTGCCAAACAGACTATTGTAGGGTGTATTTCGTGGATTGCAAAGGAAAAGATGCCTCAAATTGCTTCGTTCTTGCTTACATAGCGGCCCATCTCATACTGAGATACTTCTTTATTTGCATTTTTACAGCAAATACGGCCATATCGCTACCGTTTTTAACATACTTACATATGTACTTTATTGATTTGACGGAGTTACAATATTCTATATTGACGTGAACCTCAAAAGCTTTGGACAATATTGGCGAGTATGGCACAATCCAACAATTGTTTATATCCAAATGTTGTCCTTTTACCTTCACAACTATCTGATCGCCAACGATACAACGGGTATCCGTCATTTCCCGAGATGGTTTCAGCAATCAGGTTTCTTGGAGATTGTTTGGAACACTTACCGTCATCCATACAGGGTGAGCTGTTTAAAACTCCGCAAAGTCCAGGTATCATGTATTTCGTCACGATCGCATACAATTTTGAGTCAACTGTTTCATCACGAATTTCAGCTGAAGTGATGGAATCAATTTCATCCGGCCTTATTTTCCAGAATGGCATTTAGTAGAACCAATTGGCATTGAAAAATAGCAAAAATGCTAAGAAATGCGCATGCGGCAGACCACGCTTTTGCCATGCAACAGGGTACACCCACTTGAATATTTTCAATAATTAACACGATTCTTTGAATTATGCACATTTATTAAGCAGTTTTAGTAAGCTTACATTTGCATATAAGATACTCCTAACGTTTTACAACATAAACCATAAATGAATACCACCACCTTAGTGTAAAAACATAGTCAAAGAGTTAACAACATAAAAACTAAGAAAACAAATAATTTAAAAAATAAGAGAATGAACAGACAATACATCAACACCCTCCCGTATTTAATAACTTAGTCCCATGATATTGCAAAACTTTTCTAATAGAAAACCAAACAATGGCTTAGTCAGGAAGTCGGTTTTGTGTATCCATTGTTGAAATGTTAATTTATGCAGATGCTACTAATTCTCGAACAATAAAAACGTCTTACTCAGATGTGTTTCTAACGAGCTGCTACAATCTCAGCTTCAGCAATAGAGATGGCTACATACGGTTGTCTTCTATTAAACCAACTAATGGGTACCCTGGCATAATGACAGAGTATTCCCGATGTTAAGCGTCCTGTCTCAAATCCACCTCCATGATCTGCAATTCTATAGCATGTCAGTATGTTATTGCATGTTACTCTCATATCGCTTCTGTATGTAATTCCACAGTCAGCAGTACCCTTCACATACCGACAAGTTCTCTTAATTTTAACTACACATTCTGTTGGCTTCTCTAAACTTCGTGACACGACTTCTACAGCATAGGCAATATCAGGTCTAGTTCCACAGATCAAATACATGAAAACCCTAGTAACTTGCCTACATGGAAATTTAGTAGCAAGTTGACTCTCCTCTGTATTATTATCTTTTATTATTGGGGTCGCACCCGATCGGCAGGTTTCATACCGAAACGTTCCAAAGTTTTTCGGGTGTAATTAGCATGAGTTACATGTATACCATCATCCTCCGTTTTAATTTCGAAATCCAACTAAACGATGCGGGTTTTGAAGTGCTCTAGTAACATCCTTAAGTTCTTGATCACTGTTGGCAGCAATCAACTCATCATCTACATAAAGAACAAAGAAAATCTTGCCAGTGCTCTTTGTTTCACGAGGAGACATCGATCTGCTTCACTTCTCTGGAATCCCAAATCAATAATGTAGTTACTAAATGTTTCATTCCAACAACGGAGTTCCGGTTTTAAGTCGTACAAACTTTTCTTCAATCGACACACACTTCCACGACCATCATTGTATCCATCAGGATGCTTCATAGTTTCTTGCAAGTCCCCATTTAAAAAAAAGCAGTCGATACATCTATTTGAGCAAACTTAATCTTCTCTCGGGCAGCAACACTGAGCAGTTTTGATTTTAGAGGTTCTTGCAACAGGGCTAAATGTTTGATCATAATCAACGCCTTTCTCTTGTGAGAAGCCATTAATTACGAATTTTTTCTTTCATTTCTAAGCATCAAAACGTATCTATTTCCGTCTCTACTTTAAAAATTACAAATCATTGTTAAAAAAAAGTCATCAGGCAGGCTAAAATCAGGAAACATGATCAGGGTATTTTGAACTCAAATAATAAAACAAAATCAACGGGGAATATAGTAAAAATTCGATCAAATCAACAATGGCTCGTCCGAGGTTAAGAATGCAGTAGGTCTCTTATGGCGATTGTGATGCCAAACGTTACGTGCTATAGTCACTGTAAAGAGGACTAAGCCGCAGGGAGGGACACCGTGCCGCGGCACGCCGGGCGCTGAGTGCCGCCAAAGGCCTGCAGCCGACTGCCTCCCCCCCCCCTACTTGCGGACCGCTATTCCGCGGTACGAAAAATCTACACAAGAATATTACCGGTGTTGAGTCTGATCACCGCCCGTTCCTTTCCCCGCTGAGAATGAGGGCGAGATTACAAATGAAAAACTACTACTAAAAGTAATATCACCGGGACAGCATGCTATTTGTTGCATCTGGTATCTGTTAATTAATGAAATGATTATTAATCAAATAAACATGTTAATAATACTTAACTGTCACAATTTTATTTTCTGATAATATAAGCTAATTTAATAATATTAGAAAGCAATAACATATTATTAATATTATGAAGGAATATTACTTCATTACCCACTGATGTGACAGGAACATCATTCCTAAACTGAGGGTCATAAAGAAGAATGTATTTAAGTAAATGAATAAGGTGGACTTTTGTCACATTATTAAGCAAACATTGTTCCATTGAAGCAAAAACTTACTTACTTTATTAATGACAATATCTAATTTTGAGGAGGTAAGGGGGTCCAACAAACTTTTAACTTCCACAATTTTTGAAATTTCAGATATTTTATTGAAAATCTGACCATTTTCTTGTGTCGTTTGCTCCACTTGAACATAAAATACTTCTCTATACTAAGTTTATAGAGTTCTTAATTCTGATATGCTGGTGGATAATGATAAATTTACAGTTTACTCCTTTACTTAACAGGCTTAATACTGGAAAATTCAGTATTAAGATTGAGACTGAGGATGGCGTTAACAGAGAACCTATTAACTCAATCTTAATGATTTATGAGTTAACGTTTTCCAGCCATGACACCTTCAATATTAGTTCATATATTAAAAATTAATTATAAGATGGGAAAAAATAAAAAACCATTAGCATCAATTGCAAAATTATATTTTTCTTCACATTCTTAAATAAGTTAGAAAATCCTTAGTAGATATTTAGTACAGCATGAAAACTACATCAAAAACATTTAAAAACAATAATTCACAAAAGTTAATATTACTTTGGCACATAAATATTTACGAGACTGTATTTACTATTCTACAACGTACATAGTTATATACATAAAAATATTACAAGATGTCAGTACAACTATATAAATATATATATATTAAAACAAAGATTAACATTCATCAACAATCTGTGTCATGATGTACTTGAAAGCTGTTGAGACTCGGAAAGCAAAAATCTGACACTTTTGGCAATTTTTGGAGTATCCTGACCCGGATGCCCTGGTGATCTCAGATTTGATTTTGCTGGAGGAGTATTTGAGACTGGGAATTTAAAATTAAATGAGGATTCATTGACTTCTGTGTGTAAACATTTAGTGCTACTGATTTGTAACACAGCTTTTAAATCCTTTATTACAGTGTTTAAAGCATTCAGTTTTTTTATCACTTCCTTATTTTGACCATTACATAGGATTCGTAGATCTTGGACAGTGTTTTCCATTTGCTCAATACAACCGCAAATGCTCTCATGGTTGTCATCTAAGCTGTCTAAAACAGAGAACAAAGCTTGTTAGAGACAATTCGTTTTATTTTTAAGTACAGTTTCAGATAGTGAAAAGATTTAAGGAGTTAACAATTGCCTCCATAAATAATAAATAAAAATACATCAGGAAAATTTTTAAAGAGACACAAGAGGTATGTTCTTGTAGGTTTTTACCTGATTCACTGGATTCACATCCTGTATCCATCACAGATTCACATGATTCCATTGACAGCTGAAGAATGCTTTCATTTAACTGACGTTTCACATTTTTAGTATTCACCATGATACGTGTACTATCTTCAGAAACACTTATTTCTAAATCTTCTGTCCATTCAATATGATCATGATTAAGTAATTCTTTTAAACTGTCATCCTATGAAGAAATAATATAAAAAAACATTAAACATGATATTACATTAAAATATTGTATATTTTAAGGAAATATTGTTAAAGTTAAATAACACTATGTAACAAATTTTAACTTCCTGTCTGTCCTTAGGCATAATTGTGTTTCCCTCCTTCTCTATGATGAAAATTGTCATTATGTTGTAAAAAGTTTGCTTTTGGGGCCAGGATATTGACACGTGAAATTATTATGATATTACAGGTATGTGATTATGTTATACATTTTTGCATTGTGATACTCTCCCTATGTACAATGGCATTAAGAACCTGCAACATCTTACAGGTACAATTTGATATGTCTAAGGTGACTTTCTCAAGAAAAGAGTGACATCACAGAGAACACTATCAGGCCTACCAAGAATATTTTGGAATGTCAGTTGGATAAGACGTGGGCACCTCATTTCATCTGCAATGTTATCTGTAAACATATTTTACCCATGCCCGTATATGGAAATCAGACAAGCTTAAAACTCATTCTCCTAAGCACAAAAGCAAACTTCAGTGGTATAATGGCCATTGTCGCAATGTGTGGAACATATGATAATAGGAAATAACACTCACTTGCCCAGGACAAATACTGTTACACAGTGTGATAGATCCAAATGCACAGTAGTAAATACATAGTAATAATTACAATACAAAAATTAATAAAACAATAGGGATAGGAAGTGTAAATACAAAAACTGAGATTATAAATTTAAACTGAATTTTTGGTTTTTTAAAAATGGTTCATAGTGATCAAAACATTTGCAATTAGTTGTAAGCAACTGTCAAGGAACTCAAGTAGTAATTAGCCTAATATTTATGAGGCCTTCTTGTTAGATTTTGCGCTGCATAAATCCAACCCGTTCATGTTCATTAAAGTAACATCAATTTAAAGTGAAAAAACATTGAGGGAAAAACAAACCGGAAACTTCATAATTTCTACCCTTTAACACTAACACAAAGGTGTAGATTTAGTGAAGTTCACCATTGTATCTTGAAAGATTAATGGAGAGTTCCATAAAAAAAAATGAGGAAAAAGTACTCTTAAACCCACAATGTAAATGAATGTTTGTATGGAAAGGAAAAAAAGGAGAGAATATTGAAATTATTCTATTGTGGGAATTTGTGAATGTATCAGTTGATTTGATCAAAAGAAGAATTATCTATCTCTATCTATTTAGCTCTTTTACAGCCTTGGCCGTTTTCCGCATCCCAATTTTCAAGCCTCCTTATCCCATAGGTTTTCCCCCTCCATTTCTTTTTTCCATGGCTTCAGTTATTTCCATGTTTCATGTTCTTCACAGTCTTCCCCTGTATCTTCTTCGATTGGGTATCCGGGTATCCATTCCCCAACTTTTTGTGAAAGTCTATCTGATTTCAACCTTCTCATATGTCCATACCATTTCAGTTGTTTATTTTCAATCACCTCGTTCAAGGATGTTTGCACTTTCAATTTATTTCTAATTTCATCATTTCTGATTTTGTGTAACAGAGAAAATTTACATCTTAGTCAGAAAATAATTTCTGTTTCTTATTTTTTTTTAGTGTCCACACTTTTGCCCCATAGAGTGTTGTACTCTCTATGAAAGAGCAACATGTATGTTTCTTTGTCTTCATTGAAATAATCGGGTCCCATGGCACTGGATTCAACTGTCTTGTGGCTACTTTTCTTCTTATACTTTTATTTTTCATATCCTGTTTGTCTCTACCATCTACTGTTAGTGTGACTGCCATGTACTCATAATGTCTATTACCTCTAACTATTCCTATACTAGTCTCTAAATCATGGGGAATATCCCCTACCACCATATATTCAGTCTTTTGTGCATTTATTTCCCCATTTTCCATACTCTTCTACTAATTTTCTGAACATATAAGTTACATCACCTTCAGGCATTATCACCTACTCTGTAAATAGTAGACTAAACAATGTTCTATTACCTATTTTCACATCCATACTTCTGCTCTTTCTTGCCCATTCCTTTAGTGCTTTATCAATGTACATCTTAAACAGGGTTGGAGATATACAGCAGCCTTGCTGTAATCCTTTATTATATATTTACTTATTTATTAACTTTTGTTACCTTTATAAAGTTGTTTGACTGCATTTACGTATGTTATTGGTGTACCTTTTTATTCCATTGCCCCCATACTTCTTTTACTGTTACATTCTCATAAGCCTTTTTCAGATCTATGAAAATTAAGTGAAGTTTTCTTCTGTGCTCAATTGTTTTTTCATCAAGCTGTTTGAGATTGAAAATATTGCCATTACAGGATCAACCTGGTTTAAAACAACTTTTCTCTTCTGAGGCTGACTTTTGCACTTCAATTCTTTAGAACACGTTCTTACAGTCTAGCCAAAGATGAAGTCGCAGTGTTTATACTCCCTTCTCCCACAGCTTCTTTAGCTGCTTAATGAGTGCATTTTTCTAAGAACTGGTATTTGTCTTTAGTATTTCCTATTGGGACGTGCTTTAATTTTCCTGTCATGTGCAATTTGTACAAAAATGCAATGGAATCATCTTGGAGGTTTTCAATATTATATCTCGGCCACAAATGACCCTCTATTTTTTCACCTTTTGTATTTTGGTTTTGTTTTTCCATAACCTTTAAAGTAAGATTTACACACAAGGTAAGCCTTTCCTTTTAGTAAGTAGTGGTCTGATCCACAGGAAGCATCTCTTTGTACCCGAACATCGCTCCACTTTATAGATGACTTTCATTTAGAATTTATGAAGTCAATTATTGATTGCAGTTTTCTAGTGGGCTGGGTCCACATGAATTTATGTATTTCTTTATGTGGAAAATAGCCATTTGATATTTCAAGATTATACAATTCACATTTCTCTATATATCTTTCTCCAGTGTCATTTACTACATTTTCGCCATATCATCCCACAACATTACGTGCTATTCTTTTTCCAACTCTTTCATTAAAATGGTCTAGAAGCACCACTTTGTGATTTCCTATCGAATCCAGCAGCATGGATAGTTTCTCCAAAAACGTATCTCTTTCTGCAAAACTTGCATTGTCCGTTGGAGCATAAATTCCTATAATGAAAACATTGTCCTCTTAGTCCAAGATCGAGACATGTTATTTTCTCATCAATTGCTTCCCAGCTATGAATATTTTTCTCCCATCTTGTATGTATAGCTAGGGACATTCCTTGCACACTTTTCTTTTCCCACTTCACTAAAAAAGTGATCATAGTTCGTTTCCTTTCATTTCCCTTCTTTTTTGTTTCACTCAGCACTATGTTAAACTCCTTTATTGTGTTAAAAACTTCATTTACTTTAGTGCTTAAACCTTGAACATTCCAGCATCTAAAATTCATTGCCTTTGTCAACATCTTCAGTTAATACGAGACTCATTTCCATTGAGAGTTTGAACGGATTTTTATATTTCCTGAGTATGGGACTGCTAGCTCCATCCCTCAACTCACTTCTAGGAGGTCCGGGTAATCTTCTTTTCTGGCCTTAGTTTGAGTGTCTTCCAGGTCTCCGGAGTTCAATCTACCCCTATTTGAGGCACTTCTGTTTCTGAACAGGAAAAAAGGAATGAGAAGGATACACCTAAGTTCAGGAAACGGAAGCCTCTGAGTTACTCAATCCACCCATTGGCTCCTGGGGTTTAGGAAAAGATTTTAGGTAAGAAGGATATCTTACAGTTACGGACAATGGTCAGCCACACCTTGCTAGGTAGGAGAAACCAGAAACCAAAATTATCAAATAATTAAAAATAATATATCAAATAATTAAAATTCTCATACACAATAAGCAAAATTTGCCAATGTGTATATTTATTACTCAATTCTTAACATTGAGCACTGTAACTAAATACTCAAGCAAGCAAGAATACTCTTTGTTGTCATAATTGCAATTTTATGTAATCATGTTACTTACTGCTGAAGGTGATTTTAAACTATAAGTCAATATGCAATATTATTTGGATCATGCATCAACTATGCCACACAAACTTCATGAAGTCCACTCTTCTAGGACACAGAATAGCATCATCTTTAACACCACAATTAAATGTGTTTACAGTCACTGAATTTAAAATCATTATTATCATATTTATTTATTGAATAAACGGACATGCAGTCCTTGTATACAATTATACTGGTACACTAATGAGGTGATACATACATTAATACCTTATAAACACATGAACACATTCATAATGAGGCTTAACATTAGTATGGTAGAGATGATGATGATTATATGAGTATCGGCCATTTACGAACACATTACATGTTACCTTCCCAGGTCCAGTAATATTTATCCCAGAGAGATTAACGGGTGTCATTTCAGCTTTTCAGCTGTATCCCACGGTAAGACACAGTTGTTTGGCCTTGAATTATGAATTATTAGGTGATAGGGTGATGACGAGGGGTAATAGGACAATAACAAATATGGCCACGCCTACACAGGACTCAAACCTTCAGCCTTCTCGGTAAAGACAACGGCTGACACAACGGTTGGTGAGAAGAAAGGTGCCGGCTAATTATTTTTATTATTTATTATTGTTATAATAATTATTATTATTCTGTAAATAATTTTGGTTGAAATAACAATGTCCTTTCTTTACATTAAAGAAAAATAATTAAAAAAAATAAAAAAAAAATAAATAAAAAATTAAAACACCTCCTTCCAGATCTCTTTAATACCTCTCTCGTGAAGTGTAAAACAAATCCCTTCCAAAAAATATGTCAGCTATGGTTGAACTGATAACTAACGTGATTCATGTAATTAATAAAGATAATTCAAAATAAAGGACATGGTGTTTCTAATAAACTGATCTAGGCTGGATATACAAGTAGTGTGATAATAAGTGAAACATTCTAGTTGAAGATTATGAAATCCAGAAAAAAACTAGGTATAATGGTGTAATACTGGGAAGAAATCTATCCGTACAATACATTTATGCCTTCACAAAAAAAGAAAATGTATCATAGCAATCACATTACAAAGCAACATTGAGTAATGTATATAATTGAATGTCAGATTTTTTTTCTTTAATGCCTCATTGTAAAAACCCTCTGCAGGCAGATTGGTCCTGAAAGGCAGAACTTTAAGTGGCCTTGAAACAGAGCGCAAAAGAGATATCACTTAAAACCAAAAAGAAAAAAATTTATATTAAGTGAATTCTGATCACAAAAAAGATTTAATGTTGAAATGATACAATTGGCTAATGTTTACATTAACTGTGATTACAATAATTGGTGTAATATATTTCAAATAAAATTGTACTTCACTTACAGGATCATGATGACGCAAGCGATCCACCCAATGAGAAAAGTATGAGGGTTGCCAAAATGCAGTTATACATTTTGATCTGTCTCTGACTTTCACTCTTTGTTGCAAGGCATTTTCTCCAACAACATGCTCATGACTAAAATCCTGACCAAGAAATTTTAGAGAATTAACACAATTCTTACTAATCAAATATCAGTTTTTGGAATCTATTTTGTACTTAAAAATACTTACATATGGAATTCCAAGTTCTTTGGACAATTGTTTAGCTTCTTGAATCATTACTTGCATGTCGTGTAAGTTAATTACCTTCGATACTTCATTGGGATTGGATCGAAGAACAGTCTCAGTTTCACAAAGTGTTCCATTCAAAATATCTTCTACCTCCTAGAAAAATGATTTTTAGAAATTATGCTAGTTTGTGAAAGATGAGAAGAAAATGAAACAGAATAACAACTTAACAGATCAATACCCAACGATCTGTTGAAAAGAATTCAGAAAACCTAAAATCAGAAAACGCAATTTCTAAATTTTTCAGTCCTGCTTAGTGCAGCTACATTTCAGAACAAAATCTTATTTTAGAACATTAAAAAATAGCGGTTATTAATTCTTATTTTTTAGTACTTTTCACTTTAATATACTGCATATATCTGTTTAAAATATGTATAGTAAAATTGATAATATTAATCTTTCTAAAGTATATTTTGAAAAAATTGGATCCCTACCATTCCAACTGCTAGTGCCAGTAAAATAATTTTTCCTTTTTACCAAGGTTGGCATGAAGGACACATAAGCAAAAATATAACATATTAGTATATGAATTACCAAATAGTCCACCTCAAATTTTCATTAATCATATTCTGTGATTTTTGCTGTTCTATGTAATTTTAACAAATTAAAAAAATAGCATTTTGTAATACAGGTATATTATTATTATTATTATTATTATTATCAATTTTGTTTTCAGCATTACTTGCTTTGCTGGCACATAAATAACTGCATGCAACATGAAGTTAAGAGAAAAACAGGAAATTATCCTGTTCTTGACTTTAAATAATAATAATTATTATTATAAAAAAAAGAGGGGGGGGGGCGGTGGCAATGTCTTATAGCCCAATTGAAAGGGGTTGTGAAAATTTTGACTAAGTTTCAAAATAATGATCTAACTGTGCTATTAAGTCAATGGAAATGATAATTCAAAAATTTTGTATTGTACCTGAAGGAAGTTTGTTTTATAAGGAGCAATTACAAATGAATCCTCAAGTACTGTACTTGCTCTCCTTAATTTGTGGCTTTCTACCTCTGCCTCCAGAATATGCTTTTCAATTTCAAGTTCCTCTTTCTTCCGAGATATTTCAGATAATGCATCCTTATGCATTTCCTGCAGAATAAAGAAATCCACATCAATGTTTTTAATAAAACTTTACACAAAGAGCCAATAGTTTGTGTTCACTTCATATTTACAAGGGTAGTTCCAAGTTGTTGAAGCTGTTGCTCAAACTGGAAGCGTTGTGACCCCAACTGCATTTCAGCTTCTTTTCTAGTTTCTTCTAATTCTTTCAGAGCATTCCTTTTGGCTTCTTCCAACTCAGCTTCCAGCCTGAAAAAAAAATAGTAATTTTCTCTTTTCTTCAAATTGTCAAACTCTCAGATCTCACTTTGTTTTGCAGAAGATTTTAAGACATAATTTTAACTTTTACTTTCAATTAATCAATACTCTAGAAATACAAACATGATTTTATACATGTAATTATCAATGTACGAATATCTCTCTATATTAACATGATACAAATATCATGAAAAAACAGTTGATGAGGGACCTGAAAACATAGCAAAGTGGACATCATACTGCTTCTTCCCTAACAAACATATTCAGAATAAAGTAATTGAGAAATATAATAGATGGGTGTTAAAATCAGGTTTTACTCTATCACTCTGAAACACTACAATGTGTATCAGTTTAATTTCTGGTTTGCAAAGCATTGAAAACATTTGTTTTCGTAAGGGCATATAGTGCATCTAAACAGATTAAAAAACAAATTTATTCCTCATTTACGAACAGCTTTCAATATTAAGCATTTATAGCTGTGAAAGACTGTAAGGCTGATTAATACCATATTTTGTATAAAGTTCTCCAAAAATTAAATACCAAAACTGTAGCACCAATAAATTTTTTATACATGTTTGCAAATGGAATATTTTCTGTAGGCTTGGAAGAAGGCAATTATTCTCCTCCTCAAACTTGGGAAAGACTCTAGTTAGTATTTCAACAACAGAAATGCCATGCCAGATGATCACTTCAGGTATAGTCCTCAGCTTTCAATACACATCAACTCCTTCACCTTAGTAAATAAACAGCAAATGGGTTTCACAGAAAAGAACACAAATAACCGTATATTTGGACGTAGTCCAGGCATTTGCCAGGATCTATTTAGTGTCATTTTATTTAAATTATCTCAGTTAGGACTATTTAAGTACCTGCAGGAAATAATACACACCGTTCTTAACAACAGAAACATTAGAATGACTGACTCTACTTTATCAGATTTCCTCCCTATTCTACCAGGTCCCCATCAAGATCTATTTTCTCCCCCTCTCATGTACACCGTTCTGATATCCCTCAACTAGCAGAAACAAAATTCTTTATATATGAAGATGAAACAGTATTCTTCACCTTGGATATAGATTTGTAGTTAGCCTAGGAAACATTACAAGAAGATCTTATGAAGTACACTTTATGTTATTATTATCCGACTGGAAATTAAAAGTTAAGTCTTACAACTAATTTCTCCCATTGCATATATTTACTTAAAACATTTTGAATCCTCAAAAGGTTGCATGGAAGAAGACAATGATAAATACAATGTAAATAATAAACAAAATTATGAATAAAGAAAGGCCTTACTTGCTTTCTTGAATTCTATGAATTTCTTGGTAGGCAAATTGGTAATCTATTGGATGATCAATAACTTTTGCCTTGGGATCCTGAGGATGGTTGACACGAAAGTAGTGATTTCCACCAATAACCACTCGATCACCGTGATGCAAAGATGTTTGAATATTAACCATTTTTCCATTAACAAATGTTTGTCCATCACTACCTGGTATTAGACTCAGACTTCCACCCAAATTTTGAATTGTGCTACAAAGAAAATAATATAAATTCATAAAAATAACTTCTTGATTTTTGTCATTAAGACCAACATTTTACATCTGGTATTTTCAGTGTTAATTACCAATGTTTGCGTCGAACCAATGGTCCATTGAGGCATATGTCAGGTATGTCATCCTCTACACCACTATTCTGTCTTCCAATTTGCACAATTCCTGGAGGTAGCAGATAGAATAGAGTTCCTGAAAGGATGGGATCTGCAGTCAGATTGACTAAACATGGCTGCTGTTCGTTCCAGTCAAGATGTACAGCCAACCCACATTGCTTGAGATATTTCAATTCAGCTGACTTCCTTTGTTCTGCTTCCTGTAGTCTTTCTGACCAAGATCTACATTCAAACAAAACAGAATATTTTTATTTTCTCTCTTTTTATGTTAACATATACAAACATCCATTATACAACAAAATTTAAGAATATATACAAATCCCAAAAATTATTGCAGACCTTCCAAATACTACCAGAGCAAGAATTTACTTATGTAACAAAATTTTAACTTATGTGTGTTTAACAAAAGTACTCAAACATATATTAAATATATCACAGGGGCAGTCATTAGCACTCTACACATTCTCTCTATCGAACAGTTATATTTTTGCATTGCAAATGGTTAAGAAATGGATCACTCAAACCATGCCAATTTCCAGCAATTCTGAAGAAAACACGTTGAACTGACAACAGATGACAATATCAGTATTGGTCTCACAATCATAATATAAAGAGTTCTCTGAGTTTTAATGTTGTTTTCAAAACAAGTTCTTCTCATGAATCCAAGAAATAGATTGGGTTTGTGGTCTGTGTAATGCATACAATCCAAAAATTAAATTTTGGAGATCGTGAAAACTTTCACATGTTTAAAGGCGATTAAATTGATTTTATAGTAATAGCAAATCAGTGATTTTTATAGCTAGTAGGTAATGGACTTAAATTAATATCATTATGAGTACACCAATTAAGATACACGTTCTATGCTTGTTGCAAAATGACAATGACACTGTCATTATATACCGATTTACATATTTTGCTGTCATCAGCATTTAGAAGAATTAAACATCTTTCAAAACTGACTTCATATTACATTCTGTTCATCAGAAAATTGAAAATCCAATTGATATATTGACTAAATTGAATACTGGTGCATACAAAATGTATCAAGTTATAAAATTTATCAATTTATCATTGCAGTTAATCAAGTTATTTTCAGAAATATAATGAAAAATAATTTATTTTGCAAGTACAGCAAGGAATCTCACGATTATCTAAGACCTGGTTAAATGCTGTAGTCACCAAAAACAACAAAATAATCCACTGAAAAGCGGAATATTTGACTGTATACATCAGTTTTAGTAGCTCTAGTAGTAACCAAGTTGGTGAGCACGATGGGAGATTCTGTTGCAACATCTAAGAATTTTGAGGCAACTCCAAGTTCATAATTATTATCGAATTTGCTAACCAACATTGTGTTCGTAGTTCATCCTTGCTATTCTTAGATTTTGTGGTCTTTCGGTAAGTGATAAAAGTGTTTATTCATTTAAATTGTGTTCTGTAATTAGTATTTTGACCTTCAAAAACAACAAAAAACCTACACGATCCTTTAGCAAGTTAACTACAAATTATACGAAATTTCAATTTTTGTACCCAAGTTTGTATCTATCGATTGGTATAGTATCCAAGGTGATATTACCTGGAATAATTGTTATTCTATTGCATGCATTTTTTTCTCTCTAGAGCTTTTTGCAGCTGACAGCCAGTTACCCTTTACGTCTCGATGGGACGTGTATTCGACCACACCCTTGCGGGCTCCTCCGATCTGGGATCAGCAAAAGGCGAGGCCCTCCGCGACAACATACATCAGACACAAGGAACAAACGACTATACCCAAGACGGGACTAGAACCCGCGACCATTCGAACCGAAGCGATGAGTCGATACACGCTCTTAGCCACCTCGGCCATCCAGGTCGGCATGAAAATTAATTACGAACCAAAAATTACTAATTATAAAGAACTCACCTGTCTGACTTGGACAAGTATTCCTGGCTTTGTTTCAATTGTTCTTTGAGTCTACGAATTTCTTGTTCCTTGCGGTGAATTTCTTCACTCATTCCATTATCCCCTTCACCAAGAGGATGCTTCTTATGGTGTTCAAACACCTCTTTCAAGGCTGTTAACCTGTCCACCTCCGCCCGTAGATCTCTGTAACAATGCATTTAAAAATATCTTTAACTAGCCGGACTCCTGCTATTATTCCACATTTTGTAAATAATTGTTTTATAATGTGAATAGCTTCATATTGGATCCCCACTTCGGGCGACATCAGTTAGAACGATTCGGGAATATCACTTTTTGAGAAAATCAGTTGAACGGTTTACGCGCTAGCGTTGTGCAGACGGACAGACACGTTTGGCCGCGTCAATAGCTTTTTTGGTATTAAGGACCCACAAAACACGGATTCTGGCTACATACGTGTTAGAGGAATGTTTTTTCTATATTTAGAATCTGGATTTATCTTTTTTTATATTTTTAAATTTTTTTTTATTTTTTTTACCAGGGCTCGGCAATGAGTTTTTATGTCGAAAATTTCCGTCGCACGATTATAATACTTTCTCTTCTTACTCTTCTCTCTTTAGTGAGTGCGAGAATGTAAAAAATTACTATTATGACCTTCATGAAAGAAATTTGAATGGAGAAAAATTTTATTTCAAGGAAAAGTCCCTTATTTTCAATTTTAAAATTGTAAGAAGACGCCCAAAAATTTTGAAATTTTTGAAAATTTAGAGAGAAAAATCTGACTTATGCCACTTTTATAAGTGTGTTTTACTCTATTTTTACAAGAAATTTAAAGAAAAAAAATTGGAGGCGTATTTGAGAAAATTTTGAAAATATCCGGAGGGCTTTATGTAATGAACCCTAAAATTTTAAATATTTGATACGCAAGATCTTAATTGTGTTAAGTTTTTGATGACGAGCTGTGTGTAAGGATATTGTATTTATTCTCACTTTAATGGGTGATCAGAAACGAGCAGAATTTCGAAATGTATGTAAAATGAAATTAACTGATATTCTGTGCAATTTCTCCCAGTCTAAGTTTTTCTGTTTAATAATAAACGCTTAGGTGTCTTAGAATGTTTTCTCTTGTTCAGTAACGGGCCCGTAATCCTGTAACATATAGTTCAGGGCAGTGGCGTAATGTTCGGGCCCGCAATGCGGGCGGCCCAGGTCCAAGAGGACCTATTTAAAGGGCATATTTTTATTATTTAAGATACTAAGACCACTTGTGTTTGTTATATACTTTCACAAAGAGATTCCGGATAAGAGTGGGGCGGGCGGGCCCGCACTCATTTCGTTGCGCTCCTGATTCAGGGGTTGGCTGTTCAAAGTTGGCTTCCATTACGAAACTATTTACACTTTTAAAATCATGATTTACTAAGTGCAGAATGTTCGCACGGCTCCGAATCTTCAAATAAAAACGTTGGAGTGCGCATTGCTTGCAGATCCCGTCAAGGCCAGTTCCCGCCGCAAGTGCGTTATCTTGTGAGTTCTTTGTTCTTCCGTCCCAACGCATGCTGCAGAAGTGAAAACCCTCTTTGGCTCACCTGATGAGGCGGTCGTTGGGGTCCTCGTTGACGCGCACGCGGTTGACGATGGTGCGCGCCTGGCACGCGTAGCGCAGCGTCGCTAGCGTCTCCTCGGCGTGCACGTTGCAGGGGCTCACCGTCGCCAGCATCGCCGTGCGGGAGTTGCCGCCCAGGCTCTCCTGAAACGCCAGGAAACGCAAGCGTCATTACTCTTACAAAGGGTTAACGCACCCGAACATGTGACACGGGAGGGTTTCTCAATACTGCACGTCATGATGGACAGAGTTCGGAAAAGGGCTCGAGCATGTCGAATGCAACACCGTAAGTGAGAACTACAACTACATACTTTCTCGCGTTATTTGGAACGGTTATGTTACATTAGATTGTGATTTCTGCTAGACTATTAATTCAGCCATCACTTGATTTTGTAACTGTATGCGCTAATATGTAAGAAATAATTTGTTCTGTTCAGTAGTTTAAAAATTATTATGCGTTGATTGCCATGCTGTGCTGACCGTACCCGAGCGGGTGGGTTTGTATTGTGGGAATATTTTAGATAAATTTGCAAATTCAAGGGCTACGTCAGGAAACAGTACGTAATCATGTGCGAAATGTGTTAATGATTAAGAAATAAACTGTCTTCATGTTGCTAGCTTAAACATTATTAGTCGTTGATTGCCATGATAGTCCGTACCCAAGAGGGTGGGCTTATAATTTGGGATGTTTTTCACCAGAAGTTGATGAGCACTTAATTCAAGGCTTAAGAAAGTAAATAGTGCATTCTTATAGCCATATATCGTTAAATCTATATTCTATTATAGTCCCTAGTTTAAAATTAATGAATTAGATTTATTTATGCCATGATCTGTGAGTTGCAGTTTATTTTTAAATAATAACTATTAATGAAAATAAATCGATCGATCGGTGGAAACGATGCTTGCGAGGTATGCGCCAGAATTAAAGGAAAAGGAAAAAGGTGGTAAAAAAAAAAAGTCTCCACATGCAAAGTTTTTAAATTAATTTTGCTTTTCCTCGAATATACGTAAAATAGAGAGCCAAAAATTAAAGAGTAAAAAACTGCCTTTTATCAAAACGCCAGAGGACATTAAGTAGGTGTTAGGGATATCAAATAGATATATTGCCATAAAGGCGACATGTAGCTTTAGTGTAGCATTAGACGACATAATTGTGTTGAATTGGTTACAACATTTCTATTGACATTGAAATTAGCGTTTTGGAAGAATTGCTAACAAAATATTCGCTGCGATGTAATAAAATCTATTTTCAATGGCAAATCGGCTATGGATTTGGGCTCTAATCCATTAGTCCTTCGTGAAGGAATCTGGCCGCGACATGGAGAACGATAATTTCAATAACTATAGTTCTCACTGTACTCTAGAAGGCATGCGCACATAGTGAAGTTGTATTCATGTCCATTAGCAAAACATGGGGGCATCTCAGCATTCGCTCAAAGGAGCAGGGAAAGTGGTCTAGATGGAGGCCATAATGTAGAATCTAAAGTAGAATGTTATATGTTATTTAGAGTTATAAACCCCAATTAGTCTTTAATACATTCAAAATGATTGTTAACATTAATATTACTTTCCTCTTTGATTCTCGGACTCTAATTGTATAGAAACAGTCATGCAGCAGAATTTTTAAAAAAAATTGAGGTAAACATTTGTATAGATTTAATGGTTTAATGTCATATGGAAAAGTGTTGTAAAATAATTTATTGTATGTTAATGAGTTATAGTTGTAGACATATTTCAATGTGGATCACTTTCAAGGTATTTGAAAAAAAAAAGTCTGCTGGTAATTTCCCATTATTTCCCTTCCCCTTTCGGCATGTTGACAACTTTCTTCATTAATGGAACGCAGCTATCACTTCCACGACATAAAGTCTCTAATGCGCACGAGCGCGAAGTGTGCGCAAGGCAGGTGCCCGTACAAAACTGCAAGTATCGTTAGCGCAGCCATCCAGCGTTGTGCGCACTGCGCAGCACCACGCTAAAGATCCACACTAGTTATTATTTTCAAACTCACCACTGCAAATGTTTGATATTCTGAAATAAGAAGCACTTTCCTGACATCGTCATTGTTTTTAAATCCGGAATTTCCTGTGACACAACTCTATATTAGTTCGTTTTTTGGTTTTACGTATCAATATATTCTTAACACTTTTCTACATCATGTTAACAAATATTGTATTAAAATGACGTTTCTCCAATTTCAAACGCCACTGAAAATAAATGAATCCTACTTAGAAACTACGTGACTGAATTTAAATATTTTCCCTTCTTGATGAAATGCATACTATGACACTGGGCAAATGAGCTTAATTGCCCCATATTTAAATAACCCAATCACTCAATCACGCCTTCTTTTACGTGGCGATGTTCAGATCAAAAAGCTCAGTTAAAATGACGGGAAAGGATTCTGGAACTCAAGAAAACATGCGCAGATGATCTCCTCCCCCATGCGTCACATACAGATTTTACGGTTTTTTGACTGAATAAATCAAATCAAATGTAGCAAAGTAGAATCTTTGTTGGCTTATTGCAATGGGAACGACAGGAGTTGAATGTTATTGAGGTACGTTTAGTTTTGCAAAGGAAATTATTGGCAAATTAAGCATAAAAATATCATTTTTACTAAATTTATTTATTACACGGGAGCTCGCTCGCACGCGCGCGCACGCACACACACACACACACACACACACACAGAAAAGCTTTCCAGTTTTTTCTTTCTTCGCGAAAAGTGGTTGATTTTTCGCGATTTAGAAAAACGAGAAGGTGGCGGCGCAATTCCTGCTTCAGATTCGGATTCAGCGCATTAATACGAGCATTTCCGTTGAAATCTCGAAATCAATTTTCCGTAGCTTTGCATAACTTTCTCTATACTACATAGTACTCTGTATAAACGTATGATACGAGAAAGTACAAGTCAGGCTTTTTTTAGGTAATTTATGATTTAAGTTAATGCAATTTATAAATAATTCTAGAAAATGACTTTGATTTATACGAAATTGTTTTAAATAGTTTCCCAGGATAGCGCAAAACTCGTTTAAAAAGGGCTCAGATCTCATTTTCACTGAACTCAATGAATTCTTGAAAATTGTTAGAAGTAATTGGTAAGCGACTGTCAGTGCAGAAGTGAGTACGCCCGAGCGACTGTGTGGTATAGAGGTAAAGCGCATGGTGAGTTAACTACTTGGACGTGTGTTAGAGTCTCGAGGCGGGGGAAAAAATGGCTGGTCGGAAACACTTTTTTGGGTTCATGTAATAGAATAATATTAGGTAGCCATTAGGTAGGTCCCTTAGGCGCTAATGGATGGCAGCCGGAAAGGGTGGGACGCAAAAGGAATGAGAGACCCCACTGAAAGGAAATAAGAACTATTAACAGAAAGTCAGCCCCACTTTGTGGCATCACAAAATTGTAGACTGTTTGTTGTGATTCCGGAAATTATGATGCAGAAAATTTTTCATTCAACTTTGAGATGTTACCTAATGATGACATCAGACGTTGTGTCCACATGGGCAAAAAAATCTCTATCTTCAATACTGTAGTTTGTAATGTTAATTTTCTTTTGCGATTTTCGGTGGGACCAGCGCTATTTTGTAAAGTCATTTGCTCATTAAGCGAAAACTTCCGTTTTTGAGAAATTGTTTCTTTGTAAGATACATGAAGTTCAGATAGAAGTTATGCGAAAACCGACAGTTAAAAAAAATTGTGAACGACCTTATTTAAAGATGAATTTTTTAGAAACAAGTATCATTAAAAAAAATCAATATTGTATTTTCGCAATGTACATTTTTTGCCCCGAAATAACGCATTACACAATATACGAAATTACAAATATTTAGAATTATGTTTAAAATTAAAGTATTAGAAAAATGGGATTGGCTGAGCTAAAGGTAATTTTGGATGTCCAATCAATAAGGATACAGCAATTCAATTGAAAATAACACGGAAAAACGTTTTCTTTATTAGTGCAATACAGGAAATAGACTGACGTTATCATAAAACTACTATCAAACAATGCTACTGCTAATAATATCGGCTGTTTCTTTTGTTACTTAGCACCTTCCAAGTCGATCGGAACCATTTAAAAGCTCTTTTCCTGATCTCATGAATGGAATACCGGTGCGAAACAACAATGCACTCGACTCACGGCTGCACCATTCATAAAAAAGAAATTGTCCCGGGAACCGTGCAGCGGATGTCACAGAGCAATTTCAGCGGAAAGGAGAGGTGCGAGGGTTTCCGGCAGCCTGAGGAAGGCGCGAGTGCGAAAGGGGAGGTTGGAAGTGGTGGGGACACTGCGACAACACCCGTCGTCGCCAGCCAAGACGTCCAGCACCGAAAATGACTAGGGGCCCCCGCGCCGCGACGTCTGCGCAGGCTTCGCTTCCGGAACGGCGCGGCGCGGCGCGGCGCTTCCCAGGCGGCGTGGGCGGTGGCGGTGGCGTCGGCGCAGGCGCGAGGGGAGGAAGGTCAATGCCACCTGGCGGCCGCAGCCGGAGCTTCCGCGTTCCGGCGAGCGCCAGACGTCCGCCTCCAGCCGGCGCGCCGCGAGACACGCCACCGGCCTGCCTCCGAAAGGGAGAGGCTATTTGCGGACGCCCGCCCGCGCCCGCGCCCGCGCCCTCAGCGCTGATCCAGCTGTCGGGGCCGGTAGTCCAGGAGCAGGGCGTAAAGGCGTGAAATGGTGGCGGCTGAACGGACGGACGAGGCACAGCTACGGGAAGGGACAGTTGGGACCCGCAGGAACGACGCGCGCACGCAATCATTCCTTTGGCACCCTGAACAAGCAATACTTTAGGGACTCCTACTGCACTGGACTGCACGGAGGACGTGTCATCACCAGCCCAAGATTAAATGCGTGATCTGCAATTCGATTCATTATTTTTGCGATGTCTTAACCCATTTCTACCCAAGGATTAAAATACTTTATTTCGTATAGAATGTCAGTTGAATATTCATATGTCCTCCAAGAACAGCCAAACCAGTTTCCTACAAATATTTTGATTCTTTGGAGAAGCAGGACGGGACATTTTTTGGAAAAACAAGTATACAGACTACTTTTTGAAGGAATATTTCATTTTCTTAACAAACGCACACTAATTTAACTGGTATGCATCTGCGTACAAATTTATGCATGAAATGCAAAAAAT